TAGGGCGTGAAGATGTCCGAGTCGCTGCGGTAGGACATGGTCAGATTGAAGTAGCCGTCTAGGGCCTTCAGCTGCCGGCAGTGGGAGGGGGACTCCAAGCTGAACCAGACCCAGCGCTGGCCTGGTGGCCGTGGGGAGGGCGGGAGCTGCGCCAAAGGTCTGGAGCTGACCTCACGGTGATGCACGATGACCGCGTCGGCCTGCCGGTACACACCGCGGTTGGCGGTCAGCTGGCAGTCGGCCGTGCCAGGCCGCAGCCTCGAGCAGCGGGACAGATGCACAGGGACGTTGAAGGGCCACGTCCACAGCAGGACGACCAGGGACGGGTGACGGGGGGTAAACTGGCTGGACTCGTTGGCAGATTGAGCGAGGGGTTCCACGGTCGGGGGCTTGCCTGGAGCCACACGCAGGTAAGAGAAGAGGCACAGAGCCAAAAGCAGCTGGAACAGCAGCCCAGAGAGACAGTGGCGCCAGGGATATTGTACCTTGGCCCAGCGGATGGGATCCATGGGTCAGAGAAGCTGGGAGGGGGGGAGAGCAGAGAAGTGTCATGACAACAAAAGTAACAGCCGGCACCTCGAAGGCAGATCAGGGCCCCCCGAAGATAATCTTCATGCCTCCTGAGGTTGTGGTGGTCGGTATTTGCCATTGGGTTTTTTCCAACTCATAGTGACCCCATATGACAGAGTTGTACTGCCCCATAAGGTTTTCCTGGAAGGAGTCCTGGTGGTGCACAGGGTTACGCTCTCTGCTGCTAACCAAAAGTTTGACAGTATGAACCCCCACCGCAGCAGCCCATCGGAGAATGACCTGGTGATCTGCTCTCCATAAAGATTCCAGCCTAGAAAACCCTATAGGGAAGTCCTGCTCTGTCACACGGGGTTAGTACGAGTCGTAATCCACTCGAGGGCACCCACCAACAACCCTGAACTGTTCAAGATGGGAACTACTAGCCCCACGTGGCTACTAAGCACTTAAAATGCGATTGAATTGTGAATTTATATTGAATAAACAGAAATAATACCAGGGGTTGGAGGGAGGCAGAAAAGGGTGATCGTTGCTTGGGGGCGCTGAGTTTCTGTCAATGGTGGTGGAATGATTTGGAGATGGATAGCTGTAATGGTTGCATAACAAGATGATCGTATTCAATGCCACTGAATTATACACTCACAGCGATCCTATAGGACAGAGGAGAACTGCCCCACAGGGTTTCCATGGAGTGGCTGGTGGATTCGAACTGCCGACTTTTTGGTTAGCAGCCAAGCTCTTCAGCACTTGCCACCAGGACTGTGATGAGATACACCTAAAGTCTCACCCATATTTAATTTAGATATTCAGAAAATGAGATTTTGTACTTGGAGTTAACTTGACTTTTGGGATGATGTGATGGGGTGAATGTGTTTTGTACATGGCGAGGAGATGCATTTTTGGGGACCAGAGGATAGGATATTATGAACTGAATTGTATCCCCACAAAGTATGTGTTGTAAATCCTAACCTCTCTGCCTGTGGTTATAATCCCGTTTGGGAATGGGTTATCTTTTTTATGTTTTGAGATATAAAACAGAGTAAGCAAGTAAACGAGTGAGAAAGATCGGGGAAGACTGATGCCAAGTCACATGGAGATCTGCAAGGAACCAGGAAACAAGCTGAGAGACAAGGACCTTCTTCCAGAGCCAACCGAGAGAGAAAGCCTTACCCTAGAGCCAGTGTCTTGAATTCAGACTTCTAGCCTCCTAAACTGTGAGAGAATAAATTTTCTGTTTGTTAAAGCCATCCACTTGTGGTTTTTCTCTTATAGCAGCGCTAGATAACCCCGACATATAGTTTTACTACAATAAAACAATGAAAAGAAAAAAAACAGAAACAATGGAAAAAAACATTTTTTTTTTCCTGTTAAACACAAATTTGTTTTGGCAATACCACCATTTCACTATAACCACTAAATATTTAGCATCCAAAATTTAGCTTTAACAATATGTGTATTAATTGTTTAATGAGAAAGTGGTTTGTAAACCTTCATCTAAAGTACAATCACAAAAAAATATTTTTTACCTTTAAAGAGTAAAATACACACCGGATTGCCAAGACTTAGTATGAAAAAAGAATGTTAAATACACCCTTAGTCATTTCCATATTAATTCCATCTTGAAAACTGCTTTGGCTGTCTTGGGTGAAATCAAAGATATTGTTAAAGTTAATTTTACCTGTATCTTTTTCTTTTTCTTAACGTGGCTGTTAGAAAATCAGAAATTGCATATTTTGCTTGTGTGATATTTCTTTTTTAATTAATTTTTTTTTATTGTTGTAAAAGTGTACATCACACAACGGTTGCCAATTCTAGGAACTGACGGAAAATCAATTGCGATGTTTCAACAAATGGATGTAGCGTTGGAAGTGCTCACTCGTCTGTGCTAAGAAATTTGGAACACAGCTACCTGGCTGGAAGAGATCTATATTTATGCCTGTTCCCAAGAATGGTGATCCAATCAAATGCGGAAATTACCAAACAATATCATCAATATCACACGCAAATAAAATTTTGCTGAAGATCATTTAAAAGCAGCTGCAGCAGTTCATCAACAAGGAACTGCCAGAAATTCAAGCTGGATTCAGAAGAGGATGTGGAAAGAGGGATATCATTGCTGATGTCAGATGGATCTTGGCTAAAAGCAGAGAATACCAGAAGGATGTTTACCTGTGTTTTATTGACTATAAAAAGGCATTCGACTGTGTGGATCGTAACAAATTATGAATAACATTGCGAAAAATGGGAGTTCCAGAACACTTAACTGTGCTCATGAGGAACCTGTACATAGACCAAGAAGCAGTTGTTCAAACAGAACAAGGGGATACTGCATGGTTTAAAGTCAGGAAAGATGTGTGTCAGGGTTGTATCCTTTCACCATACTTATTCAATCTGTATACTGAGCAAATAGTCAGAGAAGCTGGACTATATGAAGAAGAGTGTGTCATCGGGATTGGAGGAAGACTCATTAACAAGCTGGGATATGCAGATGACACAACCTCGCTTGCTCAAAGTGAAGAGGACTTGAAGCACTTACTGATGGAGATCAAAGACTACAGCCTTCGGTATGGATTACACCTCAACATAAAGAAAACAAAAATCCTCACAGATGGACCAATAAGCAACACCGTGACTGTCATGGAATGAGTTGTGTCCCCCCAAAATATCTGTCAACTTGACTAGGCCATGATTCCCAGTACTGTGTGACTGTCCACCATTTTGACATCTGATGTGATTTTCCTGTGTGTTGTAAATCTTGTGTCTATGATGTTAATGAGATGGGTTTAGCGGCAGTTATGTTAACCAGGCAGGACTCAATTTACAAGAGTAGGTAGTGTCTTAAGCCAATCTCTTTCGACATATAAAAGACAGAAGTGAGTAGAGACAGGGGGACCTCATACCACCAAGAAAACAGCACTGGGAGCAGAGCACGTCCATTGGACCCGGGGTTCCTGTGCCAAGAAGCTCCTAGACCAAGGGAAGATTGATGACAAGGACCTTCTGCCAGAGCTGACAGAGAGAAAAAGCCTTCCCGTGGAGCTGGTGCCCTGAATTTGGACTTGTAGCCTACTAGACGGTGAGAGAATAAATTTCTCTTTGCTAAAGCCATCCACTTGTGGTATTTCTGTTATAGCAGCACTAGATGACTAAGACAATAATAAACAGAGAAAAGACTGAAGTTGTCAAAGATTTCATTGTCTTTGGATCCACAAGCAACAACTACGGAAGCAGCAGTCAAGAAATCAAAGAATGCATTGCATTGGGCATATCTGTTGCAAAAGACCTCTTTAAACTGTTAAAAAGCAAAGATGTCACTCTGAAGGCTAAGGTGTGCCTGACCCAAGCCATGGTGTTTTCAATCGCCTCATATGCGTGGGAAAGCTGGACGATGTATAAGGAAGACTGAAGAAGAAATTGGCGCCTTTGAATTATGGTGTTGGCAAAGGATATTGAATATACCATGGACTGCCAAGAGAATAAACAGATCTGTCTTGGAAGAAGTACAGGCAGAATGTTCCTTAGAAGCAAGGATGGCGAGACTACATCTCGCATACTTTGGATATGTTATCAGGAGGGATCAGTCCCTGGAGGACATCATGCTTGGTAAAGTAGAAGGTCAGCAAAAAAGAGGAAGACCCGCAATGAGATGGATTGACACAGTGGCTGCAACAATGGGCTCAAGCATTACAACCGTCGTGAGGATGGTGTAGGACCAGCCAGTGTTTCGTTCTTTTGTGCATAGGGCCACTGTGAGTCGGAACCGACGGCACCTTACAACAACAACCACAACGGTTGCCAATTCCACATTTCTCTCATATACAATTCTCATGTGAGGGTTCTGTGAGACAGCGCTGGGCTAACATTGAAGGTGAGAGCAGTACACTTGGCAGGGGGCTTTTGTGTGGTGGAAAAGGGACTGGGCATAGAATTCCATGGTCACGCCCAAGTCTGGAAAAAGACGTGGGCCTTCAGGGAGGTGGTCTGAGCCAGGAGTGGGACAGAGGCCAAACACTGACCATGTACTCCTCCTTTGTCCCATTGAGATCTTGGGCTTAGTGCAGAAAGAATACATGGAGATGTGATTAAAATGAACACGGTTCCTTTTGCTTTTCAATATGGCGGCGTCTCATGGGAGCTCTGGAAAGCAGATACAGGAGATGGGGCTTGGGAGGCCAGAGCTGAGATCCCACCCAAACTGAAGCCAAGATCCCTTTCCCAGAAAAGGATTAAAAAATGCTACCATGTCAGTCACAGAAGAACAAATACCGTATGATCTCACGTCCAGGAAACAAGCAAATCTACAGAAACCAAAGCTTCTTAATGGTTAGTTATTAGGGGCGGGAGGGCGGAGTGAGGGAGAGTTTTTGTGTTGGGGGCATTGAGTTTATGTGAGTGGTGGTGGAATGTCTGGGAAAAGCGTCGTGATAATGGTGGTAAAACGTGAAAAATACGTGTCACTGAATTGTAAACTTGGAAGTTCTAGCACTGGCGATTGTTTTGGTGTGCATATTTTCACCACAGTAAAAAAAAAAAAAAAGCCCCACTGGGCAGGGGCAGAAAGAAATGAATAAATCTAGGACGCTAATGTGGGTCCTGGTGATGCAACAGGTAAGCACTCGGCTGCTAATCAAAAGGTCTGTGGTTTGAATCCACCCAGTGGCTCCATGAGAGAAAGACCTGGTGCTCTGCTCCGGTAACGATTCAAACCAAAAACCATTGCTGTTGAGTTGATTCCGACTCATAGCGACCCTATAGGACAGAGTGGAACTGCCGTACAGGGTTTCCAAGGGGCGGCTGGTGGATTCGAACTGCCAACATTTTGGTGAGCAGCCAAGCTCTTAAGTAAAACTCCCTTGCCTCCCAGGGAGGTTCCGTCTCTCCTCTATCCCTATTCTGTCTGGGGGCAGTTCTACTCTGTCACCTGGGGTCGCAACGAGCGGAAGTTGACTGGTCAGCAGGCACACGACAACAACAAAAACCACGACCCCCTAGAGGCAGAGGGATTTCTAACCCGGAACTTTACCAGGGAGAAAGACAAACACCCAGTTCCTCCTGCTCGGGCAAATTTATTAGAACCTTCTAGCACCCTACCCACCCTACCCATGGTCCACCTGGTACCTAGAAAGGCCCCTGCCTGTCACCAAGGACTACTGGAAAATTGTAGGCCATTCCAGAACCCTGAGGATCCTCTATTATCTGTCCCCTCCCAGCCCAGGTGCTGAACATAAGCAGCTAGAATGGAAGGAAACAAGTTACTGGTCTGACAGAGACTGGAGAAACCCCGAGATCATGGGCCCCGGACACCCTTATAGCTCTGTAATGAAGTCACTCCTGAGGTTCACCCTTCAGCCAAAGATTAGACAGGCCCATAAAACAAAACGAGACTAAAGGGGCACACCAGCC